ACTATTTTTCTACTTATTTTACGAATCATTTTTCTACACCTTCGGTTACATTGTCAAATTACACCAAGGATCCCTATTTTTTTTTTTCAAAATGAAATGTAGCATTCAATCAGCAATCAAATTGGAAGAATGTAGCATTCTATTGGTGAAAGAATTTTTGAAATCGGCCCAGTACTTTTTGAGCCTATTCATTACAAACATACAAACATACAAAAATAGGTACAAATATTTCTTCTTTATAATAGTATTAGTATAGATGAATATTAATTTCCTATAGCGTGGGATGTTACAATGTACTACATATTGTAGTACTTTGTGACGTAACGATATTTTTTCATTATTTAACTGATTGCCTACAAGTGACAACTACCGTATTAAAATTAAGGTCAGTTAATTAGAAGCAAAATCATAATTTTATAAGCTTCAGCAAATGCATAATACCTCTATAAATTGATGTAGGGTTGTATTGGCTGTTTGATGGGCCTTTTTTTAAATTATTAACAACTGAACGATAAACAGCCGTATTATCATCAATCGACCCATTTGAAGGACTTTAATAAACCCGTGCCTCATTTGGTATAATTCACTTTTATAACTCAAATTGTATAACATTTTGAGTAAATTATATTAGATTATACAAAAAGAAAATACATTTTAAGCATATTTCTCTTATCTCGTTCTTGATTTAATTCCATTTTTGTAAAAAGATGGAAATTGTAATAATTCAATGACATTAAGATATCAATATTTTACTAAATCTAAGGACTGAGAAAACAGAGTTCACTCCGTAACAATCATGTTGGAAAATTTTGTAATCAGATAAATGAGATAGTTCTTCAAGTAACTACGAAAAACGTTCTTTAAAAAACGCGCCTAGTCCAGTCAATTTTTCCAATACCAGACCAAAAAATCTATAAAATCCCTATATCCCTTGGTCACGCGTCTCGCCATCACGTGGGAACAGCTGACAATTGGTGGGGAAGAAGCTTAGAACCTGGAGACGGACATAGGAATTAGGATACATTTTATCCAAGGATTTCCCGTAACATTTACGGGAACTGCGAAAAAACGGGTTTGTGTGTACAAATTTGCGGATAGAAGCTAGTTTACAACTAAACTTCGTTACAATTAGTCCCCAGACACAACACGAAAGGGCGTCTGATAACGAAACAAAATACTAAAATAGTTTGTCGTGTTTCAGTATTAAACGTTGGTTGCAGTGTTGACAACTTGTAACTCAGTTAAACATCGGCTGCAAACTTGTCCGCCCTTGATTCAAAACTTGTCTGGAAATATCGTCGATCGGAAAGCGCAGTGTCTGTAAATAACCTAACAATATTATAATAATTTTGAATACTTGTTTAGACAACATTGTCAATATAGTGTTACAATATTTTACACTTATTATTTTTTGTTGCTCCCCTAACATTTGACAGCAAAAATCGTACGCAATCAATATGAAAATAAGCCTCAAGTACCTATCATAATGTAGGAACGATTTTCTAAGATTCAGTTTGCAAAAACATCTGTGAGAATTTTATTCAAACTCTCATTAATTTTGTCTAATGGCATGGTAGGCATTATAAATATGTATTTATATGACAATATACATCTCTATAATTATAGATCCAGTTAATATTCAACCTACATAATATGCAATTGCAGTAAATGACGATACAATTTAAAATCACAGAAAACCGCAACGGCATGTTTACCGACAATTATGTAATAATATTAAATGGAAACTGAAACCATGGACTATTCATGAAATAAGTAATTATTTTAATGTTGGAATTCCATTTCGACATAGTTTTGTAATATTTCAATAATATTTCGGATCAGCTTGTTTAATTATAGTGGGATAATTAAAGCTGTGTCAATATTATCATTGAATATTTACTTTTGTAGTTTAACGATTATAATAATTTATAAGCTGAGTAAATCATACTAATTAATCTGGCTTTGCTTACTTACACCTAAGGCTGTGTCCAATTTCAACCCTAGCCTGACAGGGTAAATATTATGCGGCCTCTGGCGCCGCGCCTTTCGTCGGTTGATAGATTATGAATGGATAAAGAAATATACATATTTTTACAGTTCTCTCGCCCTGTTTAGCACCGTGTATAAATTAAAATGTACCGCACATTTATTAATTACTTCACACAGAACAGCAGGAGCTATATTCCGATGTTTCCGTCAAGTGCCTCGAACTTTTCTTTCATGTTAACCTATACTTACAACTTTATTTAAGTGAATATGCCAAAGAAAAGAATCTATCAATTGCGTTACGTTCGTACAAAATATTCGATAATTCATTCATAATAGGTACACAAATTATAAGTCTTTTGATGTCTGATACTCACAAAATGTACATTTGGTTGGCTGCGATATGTAAAATAAGCATAGCTGCGATATGTAAATATTTTCTCAAAGGAGTTAATATTATGTAAAACGGTAAAACGCATTAAACTTTTGCTATGTACGAATACAAAACCCACACAACATAATTAATAGTGCCAAATTAAAGGTGGGCCATGATTAGACTTAGAAAAGACAATATGTTTCTGTCCTTGTCATTTTGGGTCTGACGTCATTGATGAGTCATTAGTTTCTCTTCGTATTGTTCGGGAGGCGGCAATAACTTGGATTTAGAAAGACAACACGATATATTTCTGGTCATATCATTTTGTGCGTGACGTCATTGACGTGTCATTTGTTTCTATTTTACCGTATTGTAGCTGACCCTGCAAACTTCGTACCGCCTCAAAATTAATAACGTATGACAGTTCAATAACGACATATTGGTTTCATGTCACATAGTAATTATGTATATGTATAACAGCACCGTGTAGGGAAGTTTACATGGGAAATGAAAATTGACGATTTTAGTAATATCGTGAGTGGGGGAGAGCCATGCTTCGACATGAATGGGCCGGCTCGACCGGAGTGATACCACAGCCTCACAGAAAACCGACGAAGCAACGCTTACGTTGTGTTTCGTGTGTTTTCCCCTTCCCCAATCTCCCCAATTCCTGAATCCCCAACGATGCTCAAACTCCTAATCCCCAGAGGACCGGTAAAGCGCTTGTAACGCTTCTGGTGGTCCGGGTGTCCATGGGCGGCGCCGATTGCTTACCATCAGGTGATCCGTCAGCTCGTTCACCGGCTTATGCCATAAAAAAATTTGATAGACGATTAGGCAAAATTTTCGCGTCAGTCAGTAGCCACCATACTGTTTTAATATTACGGTGGTAGCCACAGACGCACGGACAACGCTCGTGTCTCCAGTTGACAATTTGTTAATTGAAAGCAATTGATCAGTCCATGAATTGATTTCATAGTTTCAACTATTAGAATAGCAATACTACGGCTAGATAATAGATACGTTGAAATAAGACAGACATGACGTGGTGGTCCGGAGGTTTAAGACGCCCGCTTCTCATGCATTAGGGTACAGGTTCGAAACTTTCAACAGTAAGTACCAATGTGACTTTTTCCGATTTATATGTACTTTCTAAGATTATCTAGGTGAACACAAACGGTGAAGGAACATCGTGAGGACACCTGGGCCTATAATTTCTAATTATAAGTTTGGAATCCACAACCCGCATTGAGCAAGCGTAGTGATTAATGCTCAAACCTTCTCCGTGTGAGAAGATACTTTGCTCAGCAGTGGACATTTATAGGCTGTTGATGAAGACAGGCATAATGTCACTCAGCAATTATTGAAACTCCGTAATGTTAGTGGGTTTTTTATGTATGCGTCTATAATAAGTAACCACGTTACCAGACTTGAGAAAATGACAGATGTTATTCGTATCAATGTGATTATGTACAATGAACTCAATAGTAGGTACCAGGTCAGGTACCCAGGTGCTACAGTCGTTGCTTCAAGAGACTGTGTCCTTGAATGATAAGTTAATAATACCCGAAATAGAAACTCTTTTGCAATGAAACTAGGTACTTATTTAGGAATTGAGAATAAGATATCACGAGCACTAAGGTAAATCGGGCGCTCGTTATAAGAATGTACCTTGTTAGAGGACTAGAACCAGGGGTATAAGAAACGAAAGATCTAGAAGACTAAACAGGGTTAGCATAAGTTATTTTATTAACTTTCATTTGTCAATACCAAGAATCTAACTGTGCAATATGGGTGATGACGGAGTACGAAAATAAAAAACCTATTTAGTCTATCAGTTGGGTTATGAAAAAATATCAGACATGTATTTTTTTATTTTGTTGTATAAGAAAACAATTCTTAGATAAAGCGAATCAAAGTTTAAGATTGAGAACTAACCACGTCATTTCTACGTATATAAAACGTACCTAGAAGTGACGTCACCCGATATTTGAAGTCAATATATCGTCGAAGGTATTTGTTTCTGTAAAAGAAAAAAAAATCGTGTCTAAATTTTTAAAATAATTTACCAGACGTAAAATTTAAATTAGTCATTTAATCAATATGAAATTGAATAAGACAAAATCCTATCAGATCGTCCATAACATTTAAATGAATGCGCATTAATTCGTTTATTAATTCATGTGATATTATAGTTGCCACATAGTATTATGATGGAGTCACTATCGTCATCAATAATTAAAGCTAAAGTATTATTGGTAAAGAGAATAACTGATTTCAATCGTAGTCAGTGCTTGAATCGTATCTACTTTACTATGTATAATAATAATAATAATTTATGTATTTCCTTAACCATGACAACGTTTGATACATTAAAATTGTAACTACTACTTTTTGACTTCATACACTCTAACTTTTACATTCCAAACTTGTATTTGACTTCAAATCAACAATTCCTTACATTAAATAATCGACATTGTAAAAATGGGTAATTTTTTTCAGTATCCTGGTCCCTACAGTCGTATCTAAGTGCTGTGTAAACAATGTTAGTAAAATATTGCCGCAGCCTGTATAAGCGCTAAGCGAATATGCAAACGCGGTAAGCCGTAAGCCTGTAGGAATAAGGACAAGCACTTACCACTCAAGTTATCTGCACCGTCGTTGTGAATCCAAACGCTGAGTACCTGCAAATAAATCGAAACTTGGTTAAAGAAACACAAATAGTGGTAAAAATAACTAACTTAATGCTTATAAAGTTGGTAGGTTTCATAATGCCAAAAAGGCAAAGTTTTTTTGTTTTCTCAAGAAATACTTTAAATAATAATTTTAAATATTGCTTACAATTGTTTGTGATACACCAGCTTCATGAACGTGGAACAAGTACTTATTATATCTGTACCGTATAAAAGAAATCCCGTTATCCTGTTTTGTCTTTGCTCAATTCAGCCCTGGGGGCAGCCATTACCAAACTCTTAAAATTTTTGTTGACAATTTTAATCAAGGTGAATTTCATGAAATCCATTTTATTTCCTTTTGTTGTTAACTACCTTTCTATTTATAATTGTATCTATAGGACAAATAGATTTCTACATTTCGTGTAAGCGAATGACTGACCTTTCACTTCTCGTCTGACAAACAATCAGTACATTGTAGTCTTAGGTAAATATATAATCCCGTTAACACTCAGTGGACACAAAACCCTAAAAGCAAGATTTGTACGAGTAGATAAACAACAATAAAATTGTTAAGAAAACAGACGGTATGAAGGTCGAAGGCTCAGTTATATTTCAGCCGACTGCTCGCTGTTTTCACCTTCATTTTAGAAGGACAGTTTAGTGTTTCCAGCTGACCTACAACGATAAATAACACTGTTTACAATTCTTTTCTAACGTTTTCAACCATTTAGACCCTTGTGCTCATATTTTTCTTTTCATACTTTAGTCACCGCTCTTTATTCATCAAAAGAGTAATTTACCAGTCTGTTTACCTTATTCTATTCAGAATTATCAGTATACCTAACATTATAAAAGATTTTCAAGTCAATTATGTCTCTTGAATATTACAAATACAATTTCGAGCAAGCATGTACCGGCTGCAGCCGAGCTTGGAACAGCGGTCGTCGCCTCGGTTAGATATCGTCAACAAATGTTTGTCCATTTCGCTGGCACTGCAGCACTGTTGCATCCAGGTGAAACGAGACACTTTTTGTTTCCACTTCGCCAGCGAACTAAATGAAAGAAACATCTCGGTTCTTAGATAAATAAAACGGTGACAATTTTATAAGTAGGTACTGAGACGACATGTAAATAAATGGATGTATTTATTTCTTAGCAAGCTGAAGACATTTTTTTATAAAACCTACCTAATTTAACTTTTATACAACTTTGTTCAGATGTTATATCGACATGGGCACTTGTTTGTATCATTTTCTTAAGAATTCATTGAAAGTTCCAAGATTTGTGATTAAAAGTTGAAAGTAATTTATAATTTATTAAAGTATATTCCTCTATCTGAGATTTGATTAAACATGACATGATGTGATTTGTGCTCCACTTATCAAAGGTCTGCGAAGTTAAATACTAATAAGGTTTCGAATACTTTTTAAGTCAGAAAATTACTTTGAAAACAGCACATAGGTATATCTGAGCGTTCATGTAAGCTACGCAGATCCCGAAGTAGTACTACTTATATTCTACGATTACTATCCTTTCCCGCAATACTCTTATGAAATGTCATGGAACCTCAAGTTCGTTGCATAAGTATTAATTTCACACAGAAATTCAAATACAAATATTAGGCTTATGTTTTCCTTGCTGAATTTGATTCTGTTTTGTAATCTGTTACCACAACTTTCTACCAGTTGAATAACAAAATTATTTGAACTAACTTAGAAATAATATGTTTGCGTAAAAATTGTAAAAGGAGTGTTGTTTACATAACCATATTTCTAATTTTGTCTATATGCAATATCAGCGTCCATCGACTCAATTTTGAAGTGGGTTGGTTTAAAAACTATTTTCATGATCGACAAACTAAAACGACAAAGACGATATTGATTTTAACTGTGAATTAACTTGAATTTTTTGTTATTTTTTTTCTGAACAGCCTTAATTCATAGAGAAGTTTACAAACAACAAAGATGTTTATCAAGAAACATTCATCAATCCAAATGATATTTAAACCCACATTAAGAAACTGGAGCAAGGCTTGTCACGCAACGGCACGTCTCATACGGAGTGGATGTAACGTGGATGGAATAACATAATACAAATACTACTATACCGTAGTTATCAAAATACTTTAATACATTACGATACCAGTTTTTGAACCTATTTTCTTTTCCTTACTCCCTAGATGTGCCTGAAAATGTACCGAGAAGATTGGTTGATATAATAAAGGGTAAAGCTGTAACAAAAGAGCATTCCGCATTTTGTAATATCAATGTCAGATTCGACACAGTTCTGTGATTTCATTGCTGGCACTTCACAGCACTATTGGTGAGCATCGGAATCGAAAAACTCAATAATACTTATGCCATACCATGTTGTCAGCAAACCTGTCGAAAATTTCAACAGTGAGAACAGTCCATTTCGCTTCGCTCGCGTATGAATATGGACCTGCCAGCACACCAATTGACCTTTATAAAAATGAAAACATATTGAATTTCACTCAGACATTTCTCTACCCACCCTGTCTATTTGAACTTTGTTACTTATATTTTATTCTATTAACCTTATTGAATCGGAAAATAAGTGTAACATTTTTTCTGTTAATTTGTTTAATAATTATATTTCTACATTATGCGAAATTAGACCACAACGTGGGCAGTGAAAATCGACACATGTGTAGGTGTTGTTTTTTTATTGGTAATGAGTCGGCGTTTGGCAGATCTCGCCTGATAGTAAATTGCATAAATGGTCTGGTATCTATCAGTCTCACAGGAACACGGCTTAAGCTAATAATTTGCGGGCACGTACGACTCAAACCTTTATCTACAAAAGGTCTATAAAAGCAACGGAGGGTTTTTGTCACTTTACGACGCAGATTTGGAAACTAACACCCGAATATTGAAACGCTGTTCAATTTTAAGCCGCCATTAAGTCTCCTGCTGACTTCGCATTTATAAAATGTATTCTGAGCGAAATAAACACTCGTAATATGTTCTTAAAACTGCTAAGTAGCGTTCAAACGAAAAGGTTGTTTGTTTGTAGTCATACAAACAAGAGATCGAAGCTGTCACAAATCTCAAGTTAAGACTCGAGAGAGCGACGAGGTACAATCTAATTATAACACATGAAGACACACGAATGTACTTAGATGAGCAAAAATATTCGGTTATATAGAAAAGAAACGATTTTATTCAATTTGTTACTCATTTTTTTATAATATCACGAATTATGTTTTAAAGATTGTTTTTCATGGTAAGTTAAATAGCAGATTACTTTTATTAATTGGCATACAAACATCAACATATTGTGACGACGAGATCATAAACTGTGTTTTGTAACTCGTTAGTGAAAAGTATTTCCGCGGAGAACTTGACGTGTTACCGGGGCTCCGGCTCGAAGTGCAGGAGTAGGAACGGGGTGGTTTTTAGTCAGTAAGAGTCTGACACTCCCTCCCGCCTCATCCAGGCGGAAGAAACGATTCGATTTTCCCCCCTTAAAAAAAAGTTAAAAGTATTTATTTCTTTGATAAATATTCACCAGGAAACGAATATGTTTTTCCGTTTCTGTACGCTACTAACAGTGAAAGCATATAGTTTCAGCAACAAGTGTAGGTACAATGCTAAAATGCCACTTTTATGTTTCACTATCTATGTTAGCGACGCCCTTCTAATAAAAATAAATTATATCGAAAACATATACTCATTATTGTTCAGTGCCATACTTCTTCCTTAGACAATCAACATACATAGATTACAGCCAAAAAGGGTTTTTGGCTGTAATCTATGTATGTATGTATCAAATATTTTTATAATAACTACCGTGAGACATATTAAATGAACTAAAAATCGAGGGTTACTCACGTGAATATACTGAGAGAAGCTCTACTAGTTTCCAACCACAGAGGGTTTCTTCCTCATGAGCAGCGTGCGCGGTCGCGGCGATGTCGCGCAGCCTAGTCTTTTCTCAGTATATTCACGTGAGTAACTCGCGATTTTTAGTTAACCCTGCAAATAATCTAAAATGTTAACAAGACTGTTTCTGTTACATCTACACTATAACATGGTGACTTTGGTCAGTCTACGCCTACTTCCTAGCAAAGACTATACATAAATTAAACTTGGTCTTAGCAAATTTTCGTCTACTTAAGTAATTTGTTAGCTTCGCCAATGAGTTGAAATAGCTATTTTTAACGAGGGCATGGCCTGAATTTGTTAGGGTAGTAAATTGAAGTTTTATTTGTGTTCGTCAATTTTGTGCGTAACAACGACGGAGGTTTCCGATGACTGGAAAGTTGCCACAGCTAACACATTTTAATATTCATTATAGGTACTTTAATTAACTGCTAAAGCTGAAGTTCAATTTAAAATGGTATTTCGCGCATTTCTGACACCTAATACGGTTGGATAAAGTATAGTGAGAATATAAAAGCATGTGTCGAAGTGACCTTTAGGACGCGTCGTCTGTAACTGTGAGCCAAAAACAAATTAGGGTCTGCCCTTATCTACAATCCCTGCAAAATCCTTTCATTGTTGACCCGAGCCCATAAAAAAACAGTCATAAAGTGGAGTTTTTATTTGTAATAAGTAAAAGTAGCGGAGGGATCATAAATGCTAACATTATGTTACAATAAGCGAAGTTTTTAACTCTCTCCACTAATCCGTCGCATTGCGCTTTCCATTGCGGTTAAAATAACGAACAATTATTGTGTGTCTAGCCACCCTCTGTTAAATACAAACTTAACCTGTACTAATTAGTAGAATATACGTACCTTCTATATATATGATCATGTTTATTTGATCTTGAAATAAAACTCTTTTATACTACTAATAAAACTGATAAGCAATTGAATTGAGACGCATCAAAAAAAATTACAGCATTTAACATTTACGTACAAAATAGCTTAGGTTATAGAAGATGCCAATTATGTATTTATGTTCTGTGCCGATTACGAAACAAAAGCATTATGAATAACAGCACGTAGCCTGAAATTGTGCCTAGCATTCAGAAGTAGGCGC